GTGTACATGCCCTCGTTGGCGATGAAGGTCTCGGTGTGCTGCTTGAACTTGTAGGGGTCGCGGAAGACGACCTGGGCGAGAGGAGCGCCACGGCCGGGGTCGTGGATGATGTCCTTCACGATACCACGGAGGTATCCGTGTCTCTCGGCATAGTCGAGGTTGCGGAACTTCGCGGGGGCCTGCACAGAAAATCGTTAGGAAAAACTGTCGTCGTATCGCGAATTTCGAGGATGTCGAATCTCACCTTGTTCAGGCGGGTGTTGGCCGTGAAGATAGAGCCACGACCTCTTCTCTGGTTACGGATCTGAGGAAGAGTATGTCAGCGCCTTTTGTCCTGTCCCTTGTCCATCTCGAAAAAAAGTTCGCGGGTTTCGAATTGTTGGAATGTCGAATGCGACGAGTAGCAAGTCGATAATGCGCCAATATCGTTCCGCAAATAAAGAATCGAGTGTTGGATAGAACAATGACTTACAACGCGACCCATCTTGGCAGTCCTCTGGCGTTCGGAGGGCTAGGTGTTGTCGTCGTGGTGAGGTTGAATCGTCAAATTCCGTCAACAAGCAGGATGGCTCAAATTTCGGAAACTGCAGTGGTGCGTGGGACTTCCTCTCCAGCCCTCCTCGCTTGAGCACGTGTTACGTCACGTGAAAGAAAATACGTGGGAGATTGTCCAAAATTTTGACAAAGCACGGACGGGAAGATGAAGTGGTCTCCACATAATCGGACCCATAAGCTAACTGCTGCTTGGCCACTCATCCTCGACCCTGGGACGTTTGCACCGTGTTACGATCTCCGCACTTTACCCTCACCTTCGGAACGTCTCATTATGGCCTACTGAAGCCAAGTTCACGATATCCTCAACGCCGTCATGCCGTGCAGTGTCTCTCACTCATTATGAGTCATTCTGGCGATGCACGAAAGACTTGAAACAATTGGATTATGTGAGCACTTACTTCTGCTCGATGAGGTTTCCTCATTCCCTTCGCTGTCTCCTGTTTTTCTCTCGTGGCTGCATTTTCTAATGCTCCGTCAGGTCTGCCGTGTTCGACCGGTGTTGGTGCGTTTTGTGGGCAGGTCATGTTTTGGGTCTCTGGGAGGAATCCGGTGAGGTTACAAGGACCCCGGAGTCTTTGGTGCCTTGGTGTGGTCCAGCGATCAACGTCATCGGAACCTTCGCCGGAGTCGGCGAAGGCCGTTCCTCGCGAAGTGCATCGTTGCGTTCGAAGCATTTACTCTTGAGGGTTCTTCGCGTAAAATTTTGGCCGAGTATGGTCCAATATGCGGGAGCACGCATCACTGCAAAGTGGCCCGTCGCCTCAAGTGATGTGTTGATGTTGATGACTTCAGGCCGCAGGCTTGCCGAAATCGACGAATAGGCGTTGCCTTATCTCGAGCCATTGTCGAAAAGGAACATCCTGTTGTTGGATTGCAGGCTGCTTATACCCACCACACATAGCCCTGTTCACTCAGTCACAAGGGGCAAGAATATTTCAAAGATGGAATCAAGGCTGTAGATAGCCTCACTCCGAGCGTCAAGCATGCCTGCAGACGCAAAGTTGCGAAGGCGGGCGATCAGCGTGGAATGATTTAGTCCCGGCTGATTTGGCCGAGCTGCGTTGTCATGTGACGAGCGGGAGGGGATGTTGCGGTGGATGAGAACGAGGTGGAATGCAATGCAAGTGCTAGGCAATCCACAGGACTACGACCAAAAGACAGACCTCTATATCGCCACATTGCTCAATGGCTTCAAAAACGCATCAGGTGCCGCCTGATTTTGATAGGCTCTCGGCAAGCTGTAGGTCGGCTGCCGCAGTGACCAACAAGCTGATGCGGGTAGGTGGAATGGAAGGAAAATGGGTCTCAGCGACAAAGCCCCAATTCTACCAACTCAGTGGTTGGAAATAGCATCATCAACAGAATGCGTCAGCTTCAAAGTTGGACAATCGCGAGAAGCTTCCCGGCCGAAGGATGTCTTAGTTTGCGCGGTCACTTCTGTCCTAGTCTGCACCATGGGACCCACCTGTCACCAAATGAGCATCATAAATCCACGATGATTCGATTATGAGGACGCCTTAGGAGAACGATGTAATATTTTAAGGCTTCTACTATGGTGCTCAGCAGGAGACGCTGGGATGCAGTTTGGTGTTGAGAGAAGGTTTAGTAAGGCAAGGTAGGCCAGGATATCCCACGGTAGCTCCTCGGGTGGGGTATGGGCGACGTGGATTCTCCAACGTCTTCGAGGACAAGAGGACTCATGAAGCACAATCTACAAGATGTTGCAACGCCAGGCACATATTCAAGCAGCAAGCGGCAGGGAGCATGGGCAGGCAAAGGGCTTCTTGAAGGAGGAGGAGGAGACGGCTCACCGGGTGCAAGGCCATGCTACGCGTCTTTGATATATGAGAAGGGGAATATGCGAAGAGGAATGAAAGCCGTAGGTATTTTAGATTTAATGACTCGGGCCTATCAGAGAACCAGACCGAAAGGAGATGCGGCTCAAACGTGACTTAAGTAGTCCCGTGAGTGGGCGGTCGAAACTTCCTCTCGCAACTACACCAGCGCGCATACCACCACCTCCACCTACCACGATACCCACCCCCATCTAACTTCAACAACAACACCACCCGCACACATTACAGCCATTAACGCGAGGAGGAAAAATCGCCAAGATGGCTGACGACGATTCTTCGGATTTGTCTTCGCTGTCTTCGTTGTCGCCAGTTCCTTCCGACGTCGAATCCGAAGCTGAGCCTGAACCTGCGACCAAGGGTGACATTCGAAAGTTCTTCCCTAAGCTTGCCAAAGGCAAAAAAGCCACCGTCGCGACCAAAGAGCCCTCGCCGCCGCCTCGCAAGCGATCGCCATCGCCGCCACACGAGAATGCCTTCATTGACAATCCAGACATTGCTGTATGCACCCTGTCGCGTCGTTTCGCGCAAAAAAACGCGTAGAACCGCGCGCCCCACGTCATAGGAGAAGCTAACACCCACCTCCAGTTTCTGGTTATGTTTCGCAGCCGATTCAACGATGCGTTCCCGAAATCCTTGGCCAACTTTGGCCCGCAAGAGCTTGAACAAGACATTATTGGCAGCCCGCCTGGCGAAAGAGTCGAAGCTTTCCTGTGCGCTCTACTGTTCCTGCTCTTGAACCGAAAGCAGGACGTCAAGTACGTGGACGTGACAGCAAACAATATGGTCTTTTTGGTTTGCTAATTGGCGTGATAGGGCCGGCCAATACTCCAAAGCTCTGGACGACGCTCTTGCCGCCCACAAGTCCCAATGGCCGCGGTCGTGGGAAGGTGTCAACCCACTGTCGGGTAGCAACACCTTTCACAGCATCACACCCACCCAGAGAGTAAGCACTGAAGTGCGCGTTACTTGTCTGTGCACCAGTTCACTAACCAATTGGCACAGCTGTCTCTCCTTCGCGCATTCGCCTTGTGGTCTCTTTCAGCATCCGAAACTGTCAAGACCATCATCAACAAATCCTACAAAGGAAACCGTCACGATGACGATTTGAACCAGCCGCTCTCGGTCCAACCCTGGGGTTCAGACAGTGACAAGAGACGGTACTTTTTGATCGAGGGCTTGGACGATACTGCTTTCCGCGTCTATCGGGAGAGTAACCCTGCCGGTTTCAACCGCACTTGGTGGTCAGTAGCTGGATCAATCGATGAGCTCAGGGCCCTTTGCGAGAAATTGGAGACCAAGGACGGCGGCCCCAAGGCTAGGAAGCTTGCAGATAAGATGCTGGCGGCTATTCCTCGCTTTGAGGGTACCGAGGAGGTAAGCATCCATCATCGAACTCCAGTCCAGTGTGACAAGGGATTGTTCTGGGCAATGATTAATGGAAGCAGAAACGACGTCGCAGAGAGTATCGACAGGCTCAGAAAGCCCGCTTCAAACGTCCTGAGCCTGGCTTCTCTTCCTACGAGGGTCGTACGAGAGGCAAGCGAATCAAGTACACCTACTCCGATGACGAAGACTTCCTTACAGACTCGTCCAATCGACGCTCGGCGCGCAACTCTGGAACGAGCACCCCTGCGGAACCAACCGGCCCAGTAACCACCGCCAGCGGACGTCAGATCAGAGCCCCGCCACGAATGAACGGAAGCAGTGCAGCAGGTAGTGTCAACGGAGACTCAGAGGATTCCCGTCAGCCCTCAGAACCGACGTCCGGTCCTGGAGGACGGCCACGCAGAGCTGCAGCGGTTAACCATGGAACCAACGGATGGTCATCCAAGGGCACGCGGACTCATGGACGTGACTCTATGGATGAAGACGATGATGACGGAAGCGAACCTGATTTGGGTGACGACGAAGAAGAGGACCATGTCCCAGATGAGAGTGAGGAAGACGATGACGAATTAGACGAAGACGTGGACATGGCAGATGAAGACTTGGCCGATGAACCTCGAAAGAGCTTGATCGTAAAGCTCTCGGTCAAGAAGTCCCCAACCACGACGAAAACGGCCATGATGACTCCCGCCCCAGAGGATGAGAAAGCCCCCACGAGAGTCGACGAAATGGTTGACGAGATTGTCGCCAAACCCAGAAACAAGACCCCAGAGCCTGTCATCAACGTTGCGACTACAAAACCGCCCTTGAGCCCGGCCGCTGTGCAGACCTCCTTGGCCTTTAGAGGAAGCCCGGACAAGCTGCAGACCATGCTGCAACAAGTGGATGTTGGTGTGCGCGAGTAGGGCTCATTGGGAACTGGCTACCACAAGTCCTTTGGCGTTTGGCGGTAAAACTTGGCAGGCGGAGTACGGATAGGGATAGATGATGGGAACCATCAGGATGATTGAACAATTATTTGTAGGAGCATTCGCTCGTTCATAGACGGTACTACGGCTAGTACTCTCGGGGGATATGCGCACCACGAGACGCAGCGGTACTGAAAAGTACCTGGCTTGCAGAGACACTCTGCTTCGATTTTAGATGTACAGATACCACGCCAATCATGTTTCCTGACCCTTTCATGCTATGTGTTCCTGTCCCTCACAGCTCCTTCTTTGTAAATGCCGTCCTCCAGTTTGAGCTCTTTTGCGGGGGCAGCTGCCAGTTATTCACGCTATACCACCACCTCCGGACCCTCGCACCTATCGAACTGCCGTGGACCTGAGCGTTCTTGTTCCAGTGGTGCCAGCCGATGAGGAACAAGTTGTAAACGACGCCTTGTATCAGGGGCATCATCACCTACATCAGATCAGTACTGAATCACCCCGCCGCCCGCTGCACCCGAGCAACCTACCTGATCCCTTGCGGTGATCCACGCCACCCGCCCCCAGGTATCGGCCTTGGAAATGCTGTTGAGGTAACTCTGCTCGAAACGCAGGTCGGGCATGGGTGGAAGCTTTGCTGTACGCGGCTTCGGGTTCACCACACTGCGTGGAATGTAGTCGTCGAGCTCATCATCGTCGAGATCGTCCTGGGTCGGGACGGGGTCTAATGTCACTGGCTCCTTCTCGGAGGCTGCTGTGGAGGGATTGAGGTCGTGGCTCGGGGAGGGTGCCCGGTTGATGTGGGCTGTCTGTATCGTCTCTGCGATTTGGATGGGTACGGAGGAAGCCATGTTGCGAGTCTGGCGCTGTGTAAGTATGACGAATAGGAGCTACAGCAGGTAGTGGCTTGAGCTGCGACTTCGGGAAGCTCTCGCGGGGACGGGTATGGGCGCGTTAGGAGGTTGCGATAAAGTTAGCTCGTTAGTTGCATGGTCATTGGTCATTCATTAATCCAGCACACGGGATGATCCTATGCACCCTTACTTGCATGGCGGATCCACCGCTGAGGTCATCAGCCGTTCCGCCCAAAGAAAGCGATATCCGGACGGCACACAGAAATTCAGTGGCCCAACTTTTAGCGGCACAAGATCGAGTGGGGTTGAATGAGCAACTAATACAGCACATTGGCTTTGTCTCACAACCTGCCTTACATTGTGCCTTTTTTAAACGGGCTGCAGCCTGCTTCCCTTATCCTGCAAGACATCGCCGAATAATATTACATAGATATCTGAGGGTGTCTATCTCAGTGACTCACTCGATAGTCATTGCGATAGTCAGAGTCCAGTGTAATGAGTGTTTGAAGTGCCTAAATTCCAAAGACATACGGCGTTGAAGATGAACCATGGGGCGGGCGGCTCCAGCAAAACATGGTGGTACGTGTGAAAGTCGGGAGATGAGTGGCTAGAATTTAGAGTGGCCAGGCTGTAGGCACCCTATGACTCGCTTGCGGTTTAGCGCCCTACCCGGTTTTGGGCGTACACCCAGCCAGAGCCGGATCCTGGTGCGCTCCACGGTGACAGCACAAAAAATCGACCTACCTACGTGGAGCACCAACTTTTCTTTCCTTGCAACTACCCGACCGCATCGCAACGCATCGTTCCCGCCCGGAGAACCGCGCGACGTCGACGACAAATCCCTCACCGTCACGCGAACGCGTTCCCTCATTTTGTCGTTCCTCGAGTCCCTTAATTACCCTCATTCAAGATGTCGGACCCCCAGGCGAACGAGGCCGAGAAGAACGTGAGTTTTTTCCCGTATTCCTACATCGTGGCCTCGGAGCCCCTCCTTTTTTGCCCCGCGCTCCGAGCATGCAGGCTGACGATTCCCTTTATGGGGTGCAACACAGATCGAGATATGGAAGGTCAAGAAGCTGATCAAGCGCCTCGAGGCCGCTCGTGGTAACGGCACTTCCATGATCTCGCTCATCATTCGTACGTTTTTATTTCCCGACCGCCATGCCGTCGCCGATGCCGGGTTCGACTAACACCCCACCACAGCTCCCAAGGATCAGATTTCCCGAGCCGCCAAGATGTTGGCTGAAGAATACGTACGTTACGACTGCGACAATCGCACACCATTCAAGCCGGACCGGTATTAATGAGACTTTATACAGGGAACTGCGTCAAACATCAAGTCCAGAGTCAACAGACAGTCCGTGCTTTCAGCCATTACCTCGACCCAGCAGCGTCTCAAGCTGTACAATAAGGTCCCTCCCAACGGCTTGGTTGTCTACTGTGGTGAAATCTTGACCCAGGAAGGCAAGGAGAGAAAGGTCAACATCGACTTTGAGCCTTTCAAGCCCATCAACACCTCCCTTTACCTCTGTGACAACAAGTTCCACACAGAGGCTTTGGCCGAGCTTCTCGAGTCGGATCAGAAGTTTGGTTTCATTATTATGGACGGTAACGGAGCCCTTTTCGGAACCCTTTCCGGAAACACCAGAGAAGTTGTTCACAAGTTCTCTGTCGATCTTCCCAAGAAGCACGGTCGTGGTGGTCAATCCGCTCTTCGTTTCGCCCGTCTTCGTGAGGAGAAGCGTCACAACTATGTCCGCAAGGTTGCCGAGTTGGCCGTCCAGAACTTCATTACCAATGACAAGCCCAACGTCGCTGGTCTGATTTTGGCTGGTTCTGCCGATTTCAAGACTGATCTCAACGCTTCCGACCTGTTCGATAACCGTCTGGCCACCAAGGTCATCAAGGTTGTTGACGTTTCCTATGGTGGTGAGAACGGTTTCAACCAGGCTATCGAGCTTTCTTCCGAGACCCTCGGCAACGTCAAGTTCATCCAGGAGAAGAAGCTCATCGGAAAGTACTTCGAGGAGATCAGCCAGGACACCGGTCGTGTCTGCTACGGTATTGAGGATACCCTCAAGGCTCTGGAGTTGGGCGCTGTGGAGGTTCTGATCGTCTTCGAGAACTTGGAGATCACCCGCTGGAAGCTCAAGGACAGCCAGGGCACCGAGCACCTGCTGCACACTACCAAGCAGCAGGAAACCGGTGACCGTGCCATTTTCATGGACAAGGAGACTGGCCAGGAGATGGAAGTCGTTACCCAAGAATCCTTCCTTGAGTGGATTGCAGAGCACTACAAGGACTTCGGTACCAACCTCGAGTTCGTCTCTGACCGTTCCACCGAGGGCAACCAGTTCGTCAAGGGCTTTGGTGGTATCGGTGGCATTCTCCGCTACAAGGTGAACTTCGAGCAGTTGGCTGAGGTTGATGACGACGATGACTACTACGACGGTTTGTGACCTTCCAGCACCCTATCTGCCAACTACAAGAAACTGACCATCCTAGATTGACCAACCGAGGCCCTCGAGAACGAGGGATCGACTCAAGTACCGTCTCTGAAGCATGACAGCGAAGAGGAATCCGCGCGCACAGCGTCGCAGCCCGCGCCCGCGCCCAAGCCGAACGTCGCCCATCAGCTCCTTGCAGACAGGAGCCCGATGAGCCCGGCTCACCTCACCCACCAAGTGGCGCGCCCGAGCCCGCTTCGGTCTGTTATGAAGGCCTCTTGAGTTGAGACCTAGTCTACATGTGAGACCATCCTTTCAGCCACTGCTGGAGCTGTGCAACTAACATGGGCACCAGATGATCCTCTCACAGACAGAGGACACTCAAGAGCGGTCGGGAGGCGACCGCTTGTTGATCGCGACTAGATAGAATGAAAATGAAATTAAATGCCTACTCAGCCCTTTCAGGCTCGCTCGAGCCTGTTCATTAAGCGTGAATGATGTTTCTGTGCCACAAGGACTACCGTGTTTGTGTGACTTGCCACCTCAGCTCTTACACCTAGATGGGTAACCCATGAGAGCAGCCCTTGTCCTCATGGAACAATGACTTTCCTGGTGTACATTCCCAGTTCCCCTCCCCCTTAAGGCACAGTCAACTTGGGGCCGCAGTTTCACACAGGCATCTTTATCCGATATGCGACTATGACCTATCAACTGGTTATATGCATATTCATGACCTCCAACTCAGTCTCATAACATCCCACTTACTGAGGCGTGTAAGTCGCCAATGCCAACTTCAACATGAGGCCTCTGCTCCTCAACACCCTTCGTCGGGGATTTGCAACTCAGAATGCATCCTCATCGGTAGAGGCAGGAATCGCCAAAATCCTGCACACCAGCAAGGAAATCCCAGACCACCTCTCCCCGACGCCCTCCCATCTCCTTAACCTCCTGTTCGCTGACATCTTCACCTCGTCCGCCGACTATCCACCAAAGTACCCACCATCCTCCGGGCCTGCGAGTCCGTTGCCGCAAGGCCACCACCTGGCCTATTTCCCCCTCCAATCGCCGCCCTCATGGCTGATGCCGGACGGCACTGACCCAGACCATTGCCCCGGGGCGCCCTTTACGCGCCGGCTCTGGGCGGGCGGCGAGGTCCGGTTCCGAGAGGGCTGGGAGGATGTGCTTTGTCTGGATGGGCGCCGGGTCGGCTGTGTCGAGAGCGTGGAGGATGTGAGGGCCGAGAAGGGCCGGGTGTGGGTCGAGTTGTGGCGGCGGTATGGGGCATCTTCTGCTGCTGGTCGTGGTGAGAGCGGACCGGCGGTCGAGGAGAGGAGGACGTTGGCTTTCCTTCCTGATGTTGATGTTTCTGCTCCAGCGCGGCGGAGTTTGAAAGGTGAGCGGCGGTCAGCAGCAAATTCAGTCTTCATTCCAAGCCGTGGTAGAGAGTTTGGAGAACGAGAAAAGTACTGACGTTTGAGACTGGGTTAGCGCCGCATAAGCCGACAGCGTCTCTCACTCTGACGCCGACGCAGAACCTCCTCACCAATTTCAGCGCGCTGACGTACAACGCGCACGCGATCCATCTGGACCCGGCGTGGGCTGCGCAAGAGGGCCATCCCGCGACGCTGGTCCACGGGCCTCTGTCGCTGGCTCTGGTGCTCGCGTTCTTGAACAGGCAGGGCAAAGGGCAGAGCGTGCGCTGGTACGGGTACCGGAACCTGGCGCCGCTGTACTGCGGTCGGGAGATGACGCTTTGCCTGCGAGAGAAGGAGGCGAGTGAAGGGGAGAGGAAGTGGGATGTTTGGATTGAGGGTGATGATGGAGGGATGGCGGTCAAGGGGACTGCTACGACCGTCGATGGCGTGTGATGTTGAGCATCGGCGTGGACTCATGCTGAAGCATTTCAAGCGATGGCGCGTGTAGATGATTACTTGTAAGAAAGTAACTAAGAGTACATTATTGAATGAAAATCACCCCTTGCTATCCTCCACGTGCCTAATTATATCATTAAGTCAGATACATTATACTACCACAAGCCTGGAATACCGTGGACAGAACTTCTGTGTGCCTCTACATCTATCACTCGAGCTCAACAGGGGTATCATTAACGTTGATAGTGCGTCTCGGCGACGGAGAAGACGCCAGAAGCGCCTCACTGAGAACGGATGGCGGGGCTGCGGACACTGACTGATACTTATGTCGCTCCTCAGCCCCGGGATAGAGAGGCAGGTGGTTCTCAGGGACAGATACCTCCGGCAGAGTTGAGAATTGAGCGCTCTGTGTCGGACCCTGCGACGGAGACAAGGCATCCTGGGCTCTCGACGCTCGCTTCTCCCGTATGAGAAGCCATGCAACCACACAGACCCCAATGACCACCGCTACTAAGCCTCCAACGGCACCGCCTACGATTGTAGGTATGTTGGACGAAGAACTCGCCGGCGATGGTGAAGCTGGCGCGGAGGCGGAGGCCGATGTGGAAGACATCAGAGTGATTGTGGAATCAGCCGAAGCCAGCGCTGTTTGGGTGCCGCGGAGGAAGTTGTCCTCGATCGATGCCGGGACGAAGTCTAAGCTCGTTCGACCGCTGTGTGCTTTCCACTGGCAATCGAGGAGCGATACCCAGTTATCCCTATCGATTTCTTTGTAATATGTCACGCAGGTTGGGAGCCATTGATCATCCGAACTCGTGCTAGAAAGATAGATATTAGCCATTGTCTCTTGACATAAGACATAATGTGAACGTACCAACAGCGGGTATTGAGATCAACCTTGGATCTACACTCGGTAGCTGTGCCATCGTAGCATGTACGTCCAACGATATTATCGCACTTCATATAGCCATTGTCTGTTTGGCACGGTTGCGGATATTCGCACGCTAGAGGGAATGTAGCTGTTTGATTTATGTCAGTATTCGACTTCTTATGCTGGCTGACTTGGCTCAAGCTAGAGGGGCGTTTGAAGACTTACTCCAAGGAAGTGTTACGATCCCGCATGTATTGATGCGCAGTACTCGAGGCTCCAATGCCTCTGCCCGTAGATTGAGGTTGTTTCTAGGTGTCAAAGTTGTTGTTGGGGCTGCTCTATACTTGTCGTAGTTCGGTGCCAGTGTTGGACGTGGTATGGAATTTCCATTCAAGTGTTGACGCTCCGCGAGTACCAGGCGTAGCCAGATAGCCGCAGCAATGGTTACGAGGAAGGAAGAGTTCATCACTACTCCGAGATAGATACAAGGCAGCCTGGCAAGGTTATGAGAAGAGTGGTGGAAGTGGTACACTCCGTTGACGGGAATGTGGTGGTCTTAAAAAGTTGAAGTCACCAGGAAACAGAGAAACCAGCTTGGACCCCTATTCTCGTTCTGAGTCGTCTATTTGGAGGACTGTGCAAAGATCTGGAAGCATGTTTCCGTATTGCGTAACCTTCAAAGTGAGGCAGGTTCTCTAAGATTGTGTGAAACATGGTTCGCCCGTCACACCAGCGGCCTATGTTTGAAGCATGTGTGTTGGCGAAGTAGTCCCAAATACGAGAAACTGCCAGCGCCAGCGTGGGTAGCCGGGAGCGAAGGACCCTGGCCACTTTTGCATATAATTGAGCTCAAGTGCATCTACTAGGTTTATATCAAGCCGGTGAAGGGAATCGCAAAGGATGAGGGCTCATATGAATGGGGATTATGTTACTAGATCCATTCTTGGCAAATTCTGCCATGAGAATTCATAAGCGATAAAGACAAGTTAAGATAAGAAAATACCGGCATGCTTTGAAGCTCCCTCAGGATTGTATTTCGGCTTGATCCAGCAATCTCCCAATGTATTTGATTGGTAAGCATAATATATGATGAAAGAAATCAACCCACTGATCGACTCCTTACGCCACCGCTATATGTATAAGAATAATCCCATGACCCCCCCCCCCCCCCAAAGCGTAGACACATGAACACCTAGTTCATTTTTGGGAGATTCAAGTTCCTAGCTCCACCGGTCTTCGGTTGTCGATCACGTTGCTTCCCTGCACCTCAACAAGAGGTGTGGGCGAGGGCATCGGCCCGCGTTGCGCCTTGGAAGGGTCATCATGCTCCTCATACCCAGCTTGAGAGTAATATGGCTGAGTGTGCTGCGATTGAGAGCCTGGCGTCAAGGGAATATGCCACCCGTCCTCCCTCAAGCGTTTCCTCCGCCGCAATACCAACCAGACGATGACGCAGACGGCTATGGCTACCACGGCCACCCCACCGACCACGCCTCCGACGATGGCACCTGTCGAGTTCGAGGATGATCCGGACGGAGGTGGCGTGGTTGTTGCAGTGTCCGAAGGGTCTACAGTCCTGGTCGCGTCTGGGTCGTCGGACTCGGTACCTATCACCATGATTTTTTGTCCACTGTAGGCAGGATTGCCGCATCGGAGCCATGTTTTTTGTCCTGAGTCGTCAGGCCTCAGGAGTGTCAGGCAATACGGTAACTGGCTCGGACCTGATCGAGTGCTTGGATATCAGTTAGCATTTGAACTTATCGAACTCCGGAGGCACGAATGAGACCAGTGGCTCCGGTATGTCTAGTTTCGGGACGTGTTCAATGAAAAAGATCACGAAAAGACATACCAGCAAAGCGCTTTCTGGCCTAGAGACGACGTTGTCTGCTGGCAAACAGGCGCGTTCCCATCAAAACATTCCGTCTTGAGGACGTTGCGACATCCGAACCATGGTCCCGAGCTGTAGCAATCGTTGCTGACGCAAGAGAATGTCTCGAAAGCTGACAGCAAGGAAGATATCGTCAGCCAGCTCCGTGAATCGCAGGAGCCATGGGTCAAGACTTACTTCCATTATCAAGGCGACGAACTCCACAGGCATTGGGGGGTAGACTTCTGGCTTCGAGCATCATTTGCCTCGACTCCTCGCTGGGAGCTGTCGTTGGTGCCGGGGAAAGTCCAGCGCCGTGCTCTGGGAAACCCATCGCGAGCGTTTCTTGGGGAAGTCGCCCTTCGAGGCTCATGGTGAAGGTGAGTGGCAAGAAACCCGCCAA